CAACGTGTTATTCATTAAAAGCATGACTTGTGTTTTCTTCTGACACCGTCTGGGATGTAAAAGCTGATTTTGTTTAAAGTCTGTAATTTCACTTGGGCCTACAGCTGCCCAGCGGGCAACTGAAACAGGACAGAGCCCGGCCTCCCTGCCGTCATTTAGCGTGTCTCCTTTATCACCCGGCTCAGCTCTGCGTGGAGTCGGGTCAGGCACTCAGGCCGTCTATCCATAGCGGCATCACAAGCTGGATTAGCACTCAGTTTACCCGGTCTGTCCCATCCCCCCTCCGGACCGAGGATAGCAAGGTGCGGCGTTTGCAGGGACACTCAGCGGCCAGCTTTTACCCCGAATAGGTGCCCGAGGTCTCCATTCCTTGCTCTAAACCTACAGCCACGCTGGATTCCACCAGCGCGTCCTTCAAACTGAGGCTGCCCTGCTTCCCAGGCCACTCATCTCCGGGGAGCCAGGCTGTCTTTCAAGCCAAGGGAGCTGCAGCACCAGAATTGAGACAGTGACCGGCCAGACCCCAGACCACCTTAGCCGCCTCATCAGGCCTGGCCTCTTTCCACGAGCCAGCCCGACCCCCGGCTGAGCAGTGCTCCAGCAAGGCCTCAAGCGGAAGTTCCCTCCCGTGTTCTCTTTCTTTCCCATTAAAGCTTTTGCCTGCAAGCTCACGCTGTTGCCTCAGTTTTGAGTTCTGTTATCACTGCACCAAGTCCCCATGCTGGCCGGTGACACTCTGAAACATGGGCAGAAGCTAGGAGCCTATGCCTGGCCACCATGCTTCTCTTTGCTTGTCTCTGAGATTCCGGACACATCCGTTGAGATGAAGTCCCCATCAGGCTAGGTGCTGAGCGACAGCAGAGCACAGAGCCTTCCTGTGGACTCAGAGGGGCCGTGCTGCATATGCAGGAAGTGCACTTTTAAACCACCTAAAATGTTAGAGGACGTTTGTCACTCAGCAAAGCTGATCCTATCCTGACAAACACACCCAGCTGGCCAGTAAGATCCTTACCTAGGACTTTAGACTAAGGCCCCGTCTGGTGGGCTTGGCTCACAAGACATAAACCCGATGTACTTCCTCTCTACCATGGGAATGAAATAGAAAAATCACATGAGAGATGGAGGGGCCACCTCAGCTGTTTTCTGTTGAAGATCCAGATGCTTAAAAATCCCTTGTGTTGGGCATGGTATATTCCCAGGACTCTGAGAAGCTGAGGCAGGACGATCACAAGCTTGAGCCCCACCTGGGCAACTTGGTGATTTAGCGAGACCCCATCTAAAAACAAGTTCTGGGGTTGCAGCTCAGCGCAACGGTCCTGAGCGCAATCCCTGGTAGCGCCCCCTTCCCTGTTGTTCTATGAAACATGTGCCCTTTTATCATGCTGCCTTGGGTTGGACTGTGCTGCTTTCAGCCAAGAGTCCTGATGCAGAGCGAAAGGGACTGGGTCAACCCTTCATTTTAAAGGTGAGCCAGCTGAGGCTGAGGGCAGTCAACGGGCTTGTCCAAGGTCACCGGGCCATTGAGGACTTAGAGTCACTTGCTCCCTTTCCTGGGAGAACACAGGTCTTCCTTTCTCCCTCTCCACATCCCACTGTCTGAAAGCAACTACCCTCCGCAGTCAGGTGGGTGCAGTTGTCTAAATGTTCTTGTCTCCCGGCATTCACAGGTGGCAATCTCGCCCCCAGTGGTGGCGTTAGGCAGTGCGGCCTTCCGGAGCCCCGAGGAGACTGTGGGCTCCTTGCTGCCACAAGAGGGCACAGCTGGAAGGTGCCCAAGTGCTCCCCAGACCCCAACTCTGCTGGGACCTTGATCTTGGACCTCCGAACCTCAGAACCGTGAGTGACCCTCCTGTTACCAATTACCTACTTTAAGATATTTTGTTGTAGCAGCACAAACAGACAATAGCGGGCACTGTATCAGGCCTTTTTGAAAATCGGCTGGGCCTGGGTGTGGTGGCATTAATCCTAGCACTTGGGCTGAGGCAGGAGGGTCTTGAGTCCAAGGCCAGTGCATAGTACAAGTAAGATTCAGCCTCCAAAGGGCGGCAGGCTGGGAATGCAGCTCATAAGAGTTCTGCTCATACATCAGATTGTGGACACTGCCCAGTTCTGGCTGTACCTGGCCAGCCAGGAGAGGTGCCAGGGCAGAAGCCATGAAGGAGGCAGGGGCCGAGAACCCTTGCATCCCAACGCTGAGGGCTGACGTTGGGGAGGTCCCCCAGGCAGGGCTGAGCCTCAGAACTTGGGCAGAACCTCTGGGGCTCCTGGCACAGCCCAACAGCCTTTGTGGCCAGTGGCACTGACACCAATTCCTGGTTATTGTTTCAGTAGAAACCTGCTCCCCTAGCCAGGCATGGTGGTGCATGCCTGTAATCCCAGCACTTGGGAGGCTGAGGCAGGAGGACTGCCGTGAATTCAAGGCCAGCCTGGGCTACAGAGTGAGTTCAGGACTAGCCTGAAATACATAGCAAGACCCTGTCGCAAAAAAACAAAAAAGGGGAGAAAAAAATCCCAAGAAATCTGATCTCCTGTGGGGAAATCTGCCCCCCCGCCCGCCCAGTGCTACCCCATTAATTCCAGGGCACACCGAATTGAACAGCTTCCTGTCTCATACACTGGGCAGATGGGGGAGGCTCCCCTGTGGGTGAGGTGGGGGTGACGCCCTGATTCTCTCCATCCTGATGCCGCACTTCAGCAGCTGCATCCACCAGCTCAGTAGAAGGCCCAGGAAGGAGGCAGGGACTCGGGCAGAGAAGCCAGGGCCCAGGGCCGGCAGGGAATGGCGTGCAGGAAGCCAGGACGCCAGAGGTAGCAGGTAAACAATTACAGGAGGGGCCGAGTTTGCAATTAACAGGCATTGGTGCTCAAAGCAGATAATTAACAGATTAACGGCTGTGAGCCAGGCTGCTGCCTGCCAGGCAGGACGGGCTCCCGAGTGCCCTGAAGGAGAAGGAAGCTCTGGGCCTGAATCTTTGGACCCTGAACGCAACTGGAAGTCACGGGACTCAGCAGGGACACAGCGCACAGGCTGGAAGGACTGGTAATGTAACCCGACTGTCCTCTCGTTCACGGCATCTGGGGCCATGGCCCTGACCCTCTGGAATCTGCATGTCACCAATGCAGCTCACAAGTTGTCACAGTTGTGGGGGGGCACTGCTGCTTGCTAAAGGCAGGGGAGGAAGGACTTTGATGTTAGACCTTCCCAAGTCAAAATCCGCCTTCCCCTTCCCAGCCGGGCAGGCTCGGCAGACATGCTGGTCGCACCCAACACGTGGGAGTTTGCAAGAGCCCGTCTCCCTGAGGAGCACCAACCTTTTCCCTGGGGACCTGCACGGAGCAGACATTCCGCCTGCCTGGGACGGACATGCGCGGGGTGACAGAGGAAGGTCAGCCATTGTTGGGTCCTGAGACTGCAGAGCTGCCTGTGACAGCCGCACAGCCCAGCCTGTCCTGTGACACAGAGGTCCCCTCCTCCCAGGCTCTGCTCTTCATCCACGAAGCAGGTCGGAGGATTGAACGGTCCTGCTTTAAATGAAGCAAGGCCGAGAGGTTAGGTGAGATGACATACAAGAGGCTGAAGGATACTCTTGGACCCTGGATCCCTCACCCCTCCAAAACCAGCCCATCAATCAAACGAACTGCAGAATGTTGCCCTGGGCCCAGGTCAATGCCAGGGACATTTGATGAGCCCTGATCAGTGCTAGGTGAAGGCTGAAGCATTCAAGGTTGAGCTCACGTGGGGATGGGCAAGGTCTGGTGGGGCCTTGTGGGAAGAAGTAGGTCACTCGGGGCTGGGCCTCTGAGACCACCCTATCCTCAGCCCCTTCCACTCTCCCTCTGCTCCCCCGCATCCCCGACTTCTCGGCTGCCATACAGTAAGCAGCTTTCTTCCACCACATTCTCTGCCATGACGTTTCTGCCTTGGGCCCGCTGACCACTGACTGGCTCCCCTGAGACCGTGAGTCCAGATAAACCTCTCCTCCTTTATGTTGTTTTCTCAGGTTGCTGTGGGGAATAGCTGAGTAATATGCCCCCCAGTGGGACCCTATTTCTGCAGGAGCTTTGGTGGAGATGTGTTGGAGCCGTGGCCTAGCTCCTCTCGAGGTCCCTCCTCTGCTCCACTCCCTTGCAAGATGCCTGCCTGCTTCTGAGGTCCTCCACATCCTCATGGAAGAGAAGCAGGGTCGCAGCTATAGAAACCGCTGCCTCTTCTCCCTTTGTTGGCTGTTCCCCGCTGCTCCTGTTTGGTCTCTGAGATCAAACCCAGTTTTCCCCCAAGCTGATCTCATTCCTCCTGAAGTTTCTGAGGCTCTATGTCCAATGCCCAACACCCGCTTCTGTTTGCTTTCCAAAGACGGAGGATTCTCACCCGCCCTGTGGTCCACTCCCTGCCTGGGTCGCCCAGTTCTGTTGAGGTGTGTGTTCCAGGCAGAACATCTTTAGACTTCCTGTGCATATTCCATCGAGATTCATTCCCCCCTCGGCCCACCAAGGCGTCATCTCTGCCACTGAGCTGGCAGCGCCTTTGGCTCGGGGGCCCCGTGGCTCAGCCCGCAGCTCTGGGCTTTTACATGGGTCACCACAGTCAGGACTGGCCTCCTGTCCACAGGGCACTCCTGATTAGGAAAGAACTCAATCCTCTCAGATCAGCAGTTGGAGGCTGTTCTTGTCTCTCTGTCACAAATGAATCCCTTCTCCGGCTAATGCCACCTGCTGCCACCCTTACAACCTAGTGTAGGCACTAGGGCTGTGGCTACTGGGCACTTCAAACAGGGTCAGAAAAACAGAGGTTCTGTTCTTAGATACTTTCTTGTCTCTGAGACACAATACCCAACACCCACAATTCTAAGGAGGGAAGGTTTATTTTGGCTCACGGTTTGGAGGGTTTCAGCCCACAGCCAGCTGGCTCCAAGGCAAGGTGGCATGGCAGAGGGGCCTGGCAGAGAAGAACTGCTCATGGCATGGCAGAGAGAGAGATCAAGAGAGGAGGGAGGGAAATAAACCCTTCCAGGCCACGCCCCCCGCCACCCACCTCCTCCAACCAGGCTTCACCTCCCAACATCACATTCGGCTATGTGGTCCTCAGTAGACTAATCCATCCAAGAACATCACTGCCTGATGATGCAGTCACCTCCCCAAGGCCCCACCCACAGACACATGAGGCTTGGCGGGGACATCTGTGTAAACCAGAGCATTCTGCCCCTGCCTCCAACACACTCATGCACATCACTTTATGCAAAATGCATTTACTCCATCTCTAGGAGTTGCCAAAGTCCTACCAGTTTCAGCACTGCTGAAAAACCCAAGTCCGAAAGTCTCGTTTGAGATTTAAGGCAAACTCTTAGCTGCGAGCCCCTGTATAATTCAAAAGAAAGGCAAAGGGTAAGCATTCCCATTCCAAAAGGGAGGAAATAGGGTGATGGATAGGACAGATAGCTGTGCACGGCAGGCTGAGTCCCAGGGAGCAGATTCTAGGCGGCCCCTCGCAAGCACAGCGGCCAGGGACTCTCTTCTCAAAGCAAAGTCTGGTTAGCACCTTTGGGCCCACCTGCGTGTTCAGGGCTCAGGGATCAGGATGGGCACATCCTTGGGCCACTCTTCTGCCTTCTGAATGCAGCCGATCCACAAACTGCTTCTCCTCAACCCTGCGGGAATTGTTTTGTTCAGGAGGGTGCAAGTGACAAAAGTCAGGTCAATCAGAGCAAGTCTAGGATTTCCATGAAGTTCTGAAATGAGACAGCCCCACAGCTTTTGGTGGGGCTGTGGTGAAGCCCACATACAAGCTCTGGGACAGCTGCCACCACTGTCACCACCGAGGGAAACTAGGCTGAAACACAAGTGTCCTGCAGAGAATAGAAACGAATGACTTGCAGACAACAGAAACCAAACTACTTTGCGGAGAAAATACTGCAAAGCAATTGCGTCATCTGGAACCTCTGGATCTAACCACACCTGAGTCCCTCTGGTTCCAACTTTTCAGTTAGGTAAATCCACAAACTCCCTTTACTGGCCCAGCCGTCTGAACTGGATTTTTTGCTATTTACAAAATGAAGATTTGACACAGAGTGAGGCAAGAGTAGTAAAGTAGTATTTGATCACCTGAGGTCTGTCCTCAACCAGCCACCCTTTCCCTTGGGTCCTCAAAGGAACACCCATCCTGCCCCTAGATCTCAGAAGCCTGTCCTGCCTCAGCTTCTCTCCCTGCCTAGAGTGATGTTCGGCTGTGCCGGTCTGCTTTGGTGAGGCCCTGCTGTAACGTGATGGCTGAATTCACAGGTGAAGAGACAGACCCATAATGAGCTGGAATGCGAGATCCCCTCATGTAGGAACCTGAAATAGGAGTTCAGAGATGCCAGCGGACTACGGTCCACGGAACTCTGATGATACAGAGGACAAGAAGGTGCAGGCAAGTGCGGGTAGAGTGACAGGGCCTCAGATGGCCAGAGGGCTCTGAAGGCTCCAATCTTCCCTGAGGTCCAACTCTGCTCTTGCCCATTGATCTGAAACATACAAATCCTCATGTAGCCTTAGTTTCCCTGTAGGTAACCAAAATGACTTCCTATCACCTTAAACCAAAGGCAGTTGGCTGGGTACGGTGGTGCATACCCATAATCCCAGCACTGGAGAGGCTGAGGCAGGAGGATCACTGCGAGTTTGAGGTCAGCCTGGGCAACACTGCAAGATCCTGTCTCCAAAATAAAGGAGGTTGGACTAAGCCATTTTCCTTAATCTTGCACCTGCCTGAGGATACACATGTGAAGGGCACCATAGTTTGGATTTTAAATTCCTGTTTAGGAGAAAAAATGCATCTCACTGCCAGAGTTCATCTACTTTTATGCAAACATGCTCCCTGAGCAGAAAGCAAACCTGACTGGCTTTTCAATGTGAAAAAAAACACAAAAACTGCTCCTGGAGTTATTTCTAAACAGAAAATATCTCTAATCCTAACATGACAAATGCATAGGATGACCTGTATTTATTAATTTTTCTATTGATGAGGAAACTAAGCTCTGTATCAGGGTATATTTGGAAGCTCCACTAATCTGGGCTTAATTGAACAGTTTACATTATTCACATTTGTAGTCCCCAGGTTGTCTCACCCGCTCCCTTCCCCAGTGAAATCAAATCATGGGGTTGACAAGCCTGGAAGTTCTTTGGTGTTTCCCTCACTGTTGCAAAATCGCTGCCATAGCTCCAAATGTCACATACTAATTCAACAGTGAACAAAACTAGAAAGAAGAGAAAAGGATGGAGAAGAAAAGAGGGAAAGAGCTTTCCATGTATATAGAGGAAGATCTTCTGTACAAGGATCTTGGTGGAGTCGCCCTTCTTTCTTACTGCCTGGTGTATTAGTCAACTGTTTACCACTGGGACAAAATATCTGACTTAACGGAGGAAAGGTTTATCTTGGCCCAGGGCCATCCTACGTCTTGGTTGTTGGATGTAGGAAACCCACTTCCCTCGTTGTTTAAGCCCCTTTGAATGCAGCTAATTCTGACCCAGCCCCCCATTTCTCCTCAGCTCTGAGGGGTGGGGACACTGGGCACCAGGCTGCTGAGGAGAGGCAACGTGCTCAGTCCTGGAGCTCAGCCTTGGGGCTGGCTGTTCCTTACATAACCACAGCCAGGCCTGTGCTCAAAGCCCGCGGGGCGGGGGCGTGGCTGGGGGAGGCCTGGGCTGCAGGAAGGAGAGCAGCACCCCGCACTGTACAGCCCAGCCCGCGTGGGCTGGTGCTCCGCGACAAAGGCCGCAGCCACACACCGGTGCCTTGGGCAGGGCGGGTGGTGGAGCCGGTGGGCACAGGGTGGTGGTTAGGAGCTGGAGGCCTGCAGGCCCAGGCGGGTGGCAGGGCTTTGTGCAGGGCGCAGCCTGGCCCTCTCCCGCGCTCTCCTGAGGCACGATGAATACAGTGCGCGTTTCTCTGCGACTGATTACAGACATTTGCTCCCGAACTCGCCGTCTCACCATGACCTGGAGCCCCACCGGGCCCTCCCTGCGGTCATTAGTGTTTAAAACGCTGGCTTCGCTCCCCAGCACTGGAAAAACAAAACCTCCAACCCCACCATTCTGAACCCTGGAGCCAAGCTTCTTCCTGGGAAAGGGACACTGTGTCAGGCACACACGGAGGAAATGCTCTGCGGCCTGAATGTCACCTCTTCCTGGAGGCCACCTGCCTCGAGCTGCCAGCGGAGCCTGCTAAACGCAGAGCCTGTCCTGACATTCCCAGGCCCAGCGAGTCTGTTGGTCCCTGCTGTCTCTAGGGCTGTCACACCTGAGCGAGGCAGATGAGGGAGCTCACGTCCACCCCTTCAGCTGCAGGACCCAACCCATGGCCTTCAGGCTGCTTACCTTCTGCTGGTGCAACCCTAGTTCCCTGGGGGACCTGCTGGCTGTCGCAGGTCCTTAGGGGACTCTGTCTCAGCCATCAGGGTACAGCTCCTTTTGGAACAGCTCTCAGGGCTTTTGGGGGGCACCTCAAGGAAAGGGTGCCCACAGCTCTGCTCTCGAGAAGTCCTTGTCCCAAATCTGCCCCTCAAGGTGGTCAGCCTAGCAGTGAGGCCTCCACAGAGGAGGGCAGACCGGAAAGTGCCCGGGACCTCCAGAGGGCAGCTGTGGAGCTTGACCCACCTGTGTCTGAATCCACCCCTGAACTGCTGAGGAACTTGAGTCAATAAATCAGGTTTGGTCAAAGCTGGGGGCGTTGGGGATGAAACCTGGAGAGCGCTTGCCTAGCAAGTAGCTGGGATTGCAGGCGTGTGCCACCATGCTGGGCTTGGCATTGGCTCTGTGTGTGTCAGTGTGTGTTTAATTTCTTCAAATTGTATGTCTAGGTCCCCTGGTTGTTTCCTACTTTTTAGACTCAGGATCGTTTTAAGGCCCTTTGCCTGTCGCACTGTGTACATTCAACCTCTCCTCAGTGCAGCCTAGTTCCCCGAAGTGGGGACTGGTCCCTTTTCCCTTTTCTTTCCCCCGGAGATGAATACTTAGGTTGCCTCTGACAACCTCCACCTGCCAAAGAGCCACACGAAAAACCCTGCAAGGAGCCCCCGGGTGTGGACGGCGGATGGATGTGTCTGTGTCATCTGCAGCAACACCAGAAATGCACGGCGGCTGTGGGACGCACTCTGGGCCCAAGCTCCCTCCGCAGCATCCTCTCCTGTCTACACCACGTCATCACCGCACTTGCCTCCCTCAGCTGCCTTAGCCTAGCGGGTAGACCACATTCTCTCTCTACAGCTGTGCATAGGCTATACAGCCTTAGCCTAGCGGGTAGACCACATTCTCTCTCTACAGCTGTGCACTGGCCTAAAACATGCGCTTTTTATCTCCTTTTTGCTGAGGGCCAGGAGCTGGGCACAGCTTAGCTGAGTCATGTGCTTGGGCTGCAACCAAAGTGCCCGTCAGGCGCTACCTTCACAGAGGAGCCATCAGGGAGCCCTCCGCTTCCAGGAAGCTGCAGGGCACTGGCGGGACTCATTCTGAGGGGCTGCAGAACCCAAGGTGACTCTTTTTTTCCAAGGTCAGTAGGACAGTCTCTTTTTTTTTTCCCCTCAGTACTAGGGATTAAAAACAGGGGGTCCAGCATGCTACGTAAGTGCTCTACCAATGAGCTGTATCCAGAGACCTTTTAAAAATATTATTTTGAGACAGGGTCTTGCTAAATAGCTCAGGCTGGCCTTCAACTTGCAAACCTCCAGCTTTAGCCTCTCTGGTAGCTGGAATTATAGGTGTGTCACCACGCCCAGTGAGTTTCTCTTTTTTTTTGTGGTACTGGGGATTGAAACCAGGGCCTCTGCTCGGAGCTACTTGCCCAGCCTTTTATTTTTTGAGACAGGATCTTGCTAAGTGACTAAGTTGCAAAGGTTGGGCTCAAACTTGTGATATCTTTTTCTAGTAGACTCATCTGATTAGGCTGGGCCCACCTAGGATGATCTCCTTTTGATTCATTTAAATGCAAATGACTGGGGCCTTTAGTTATATCAGCAGATTCCTTAAGCCTTGCCCCAGAGCCTGGCCTCTGCCTTTGCCACCCTCTTTGGTGAGAACCAAGTTCCAGGCCCTGCCCCCCACACCCAAGGGGCGAGGATTACACAAGGGCTTGCCATCAGAGCTCACCTGAGGATTCTGCCGCTGTGTGTGTATGAGGTGATCTGCTGCCGATGGTGGTGTGGAGGCGGAACTCACTCGCTGGAATTGACCTTCTTAACCACTGTTAGGATATAGTCCAGGAGTATAAGTCCATTCACATGGTTGGGTGACCATTACCACACCCGTCCACACCTTGTCCATAATAAGCCATGCTTGACTTGTGACGTAAGCGGCCAGATGGTCACCCCCTTGAAAAGAAGTAGACAAGTGAGGTCCACTGAGAAGGAAGTCGCTCTACTCCACACACATTTATCAAGGGGCCACAGCATGGCGTCTTCTCTGCTGTGTCCTGGGAGGGAGCAGTGTGCAGACAATTAGTCCCAGCCTAGTGTTGGGAAGTCCACCCCAGACACCGAGTGAACATGTTCCGCCCTGTGAGACCCAGGCTCTCCACACACCATTCCTGCTGGACCAGAATAAAGGACACAGAAAAGGGGGCAGAAGTGTTGGCCCAGCCAAAATGCTTTCACACACACCTCCTACACACTGTGATTGGTCCAGAGGGTAACAGGTGATCTTGCAGGACCAATCAGGGTCTCCTCTGGGGTTTCCATTGGATGTTGGCTGACAGACATTTCTATCTATGAGGTGGCTAAGAGGGTGGATGTAATTCGTGGGCTATTTTTAGTGTTTTTTTTTTTTTAACAGGAGAGTCTTCAGAAGGAGCAAAACTAGACAGACATGAACAGTACAGACACCGGATAGAGAATCCAAGGACCAATAGTATTGTCTGAACACCTGTATCTGGCTATTCCTGAAGCTGGCTTGTATAGTTTCTAGTTAAGGGAGCCAACCCATTACCTTCTGCCTTAAGTGGATGTGGCTTGCAATCAGTGTAAAGAAGAGTTCCATTAGGAGGAGAACCCAAGAAGTCCAGTGCTCTGCTCACTCTACTGCTCTGCGGTCACCAGGTCTCAAGACACTTTTTTAGGTCATAAATCGCCTTTTCTCAAAATCTCTTGGAATCGTAATTCTGTCAACAAGGGCTCTCTCTCTCCTTAGGTCCAGCCCAGGTTGGGCACTGCCGAGCCCAGGTGTGTTTCTGCCATTCCAAGAGCCACGATGGTCATGGTCAGTCCGCAGACTGCCTGAGAAGAGCACACTCGGTCCTCAGCACCCCAGCTCAGGCACAGATGTAAAGCAAGGCTTCCTTTTAAATGTCCAGATTGCAGGAAACCATCACGACCACCACCAAACACCTTTCTTCCAAAACGGCAGCACCTCAGAGGACAGAACTCTGGCAGATGATGCCCAGGTATGTCACAACCACGGCCGTTCCAGTCTGCAGCATTCCGGCCTCAGCCTCAGAGCTCCCTAAGGACGGAAGGGCACCTGTCAGTGACTGAATCTCAACTGCCCAGCCGGAGGGAGCAGGCAACATAAGATAAAGGATTGCTTTGTTTTTCAGCTTCAGAATCTCGGTCTTCTTTGGGCCTGTGCTCCCTGGTACAGGAAGGTAGGAGAGGGCGCAAAATGAGTTGTGCGGTACTAGCAGGACATCACAAAGTGGGACACGCGTGAGTGGACAGAACAGCCTGGGCAGACAAACGGGCACACGAAAGGGGAGAGATGGCTGCATCCTGATGGGAAAGCTAGGGAGTCACACTGGGGGTTTCGAGTCAACCGAGAGAGGTCTGTCACCTGGCTTCTGTCATCCGGGGCCAGCAGGCTCACATCTGTCATTGCTTCCACGGTGTCACAATGTCCCGAAATCTGGAATGCTCTGGCATGTCAGGCGGCCCACGGAGGAGGGAGCGGCAGCGCGGGAACAAAGCGCCCTCATCCTCTCCTTCCTTTATCCCACACTGCATGCCGTTGCTCGCTGGTCTCCTGCTGGGTGCTGGGAACACAGTCAAAAGATGAATGAACCTGTAAGGTCTTCGTTCACACGGAGCGCGGGGCTGACACAGGAGTCGGGTATTAATCAAACAACCCGGCGAAGAACCCAGTGGCCACAGGCCCCGCTGACAACAGGCACCTGGCGGCTGCTGCGCATTCCCGAGTGCGCTCTGGAGTTCTAATTAAGGAAGGACAGGACGCTGGGGAGGCCTGACTTGTTTTTATGACTCAAAAACTGGCTCTGGCTCTCTTTTTCTCTCTCTTTCCTAAGGCCTTGGCATCCTGCTACAGTTCCAGGACTGTTTTCAAATTCTGTTTACACAGGGTCTTGCTAAGTCGCTGGATTGCCAGGCTGTGCTCGAATTTGTGATCTTCCTGACTCAGCCTCCCGCAGTGCTATCATTACAGGCATGCCCTGCCATGTCTGGCTGAGAATTTCTTTTGTTAGAATCTGGCTACATATGAGTCTTTGTCCTACCTTGTTGGTCTCACAGATGTCTTCAGAGGTCCCTATGTGGCTTGCAGGGCCTCTGGCAAGGGAAGCCCTGCCCGCACACCAGGCCCAGAGCCAGGGCGCCGCAATGGGTTGAGGGCGGGCGCTACAGGGAGGGGCGGGACTTCCGGCCCAGCGCGCGTCCCCATTGGTTCACAGGGCGGTTTTACGCCTGCGCGCTGAGGCCACCAGGCATAGTTTTCCGGCCAGCTCTCGCGCGACTGCTGCTTTGGCGGGAGCCGGCGGTAGGTGCGAGGTGTAATGCGTGGGAGCTGCTCCTAGGCCAGGCCGCGTCCGACCAGGCCTGGGTACGCCGGGGACCCTTCCTCGTCGGGAACTGGGCCCGGCGGCCTTTCAAGTGCAGGCGCGGCAGGTGTCTGTGTGGACCCAGTGGAGCGCCGCCGCGCGGGCCCGTCGCAGGGGGGAGG